AAATGGAAGAAACACAAAAGAACTGTCAATCTCCCTCGGCTTGGGGCTCCATGCAAGATCTCACCTCGTGGAGTTGCAATGATCATGAGAACGGTGAGGAATCAGCCCAGAACTACACGGGAGGATCTTGTCAATGATCTCAAGGCAGCTGGGACCATAGTCACCAAGAAAACAGTTGGTAACACACTACGCCGTGAAGGACTGAAATCCTGCAGCGCCCGCAAGGTCCCCCTGCTCAAGAAAGCACATATACATGCCCGTCTGAAGTTTGCCAATGAACATCTGAATGATTCAGAGGACAACTGGGTGAAAGTGGTTTGGTCAGATGAGACCAAAATGGAGCTCTTTGGCATCAACTCAACTCGCCGTGTTTGGAGGAGGAGGAATGCTGCCTATGACCCCAAGAACACCATCCCCACCGTCAAACATGGAGGTGGAAACATTATGCTTTGGGGGGGTTTTTCTGCTAAGGGGACAGGACAACTGCACTGCATCAAAGGGACGAGGACGGGGCCATGTACCGTCAAATCTTGGGTGAGAACCTCCTTCCCTCAGCCAGGGCAAGACAACAAAGGAGTGGCTCAAGAAGAAGTACATTAAGGTCCTGGAGTGGCCTAGCTAGTCTCCAGACCTTAATCCCGTAGAAAATCTGTGGAGGGAGCTGAAGGTTCGAGTTGCCAAACGTCAGCCTCGAAACCTTAATGACTTGGAGAAGATCTGCAAAGAGGAGTGGGACAAAATCCCTCCTGAGATGTGTGCAAACCTGGTGGCCAACTACAAGAAACGTCTGACCTCTGTAATTGCCAACAAGGGTTTTGCCACCAAGTACTAAGTCATGTTTTGCAGAGGGGTCAAATACTTATTTCCCTCATTAAAATGCAAATCAATTTATAACATTTTTGACATGCGTTTTTCTCGATTTTGTTGTTGTTATTCTGTTTCTCACTGTTCAAATAAATCTACCATTAAAATTATAGACTGATCATTTCTTTGTCAGTGGGCAAACGTACAAAATCAGCAGGGGATCAATTACTTTTTTCCCTCACTGTATAAAGGCCGGCACGGCACACTAAGGGGTGAGTGGCCAGCACCACGCCTGGCTGTGTTTGTCTCCCCAATGGCGATGTTTACAAACCGCAACAGGTACTTCATTTAAGGTAACCGAGATATTCACCACTGACGTCGGCCGCGAGCGGTAATCGAACTCAGGTGGCGGGTTTGTCACGTAGTTCACTAACCACTTCACACAACGTGTCATTCACCACACGCAGTCGCATTTGTACCAAAAGCACAGACAACAGCCGTTCACCCCTAAGTAGTGATGACAGAACCACGACGCTTGTGCCATGCTAGGTGCACTTTGAGGCCACGTGAAGTGTCTAAGGCCCGCTGGCAGGAAGTCACGGAATAGACCCAGGTGCCACGGGTTGACCGACTGAGATGACTGGCTGACTGAGATCACTGGCACACACACGTACAGATGACTGACTGTACGGTACTCAAACGACACACACCCATGTTACACGCATTTGGACACACCCATTTACACACCACACTTGAGCTCACACGTCCCAGCCACACAACCACGCAGACTACGAACATTAAATCACATAAAAAGACAAACACGTTATGCATCAAGTATTAGAAAACGTACACATTAACCACACATATGCAGTGACACACAAACGCGTGTTCTGAACACACAGTTACACACGTAACTAAGACGCTCACAAACATAGGTCATATACAAGCACGTACTACGCACCTATTGGCACACATACTATAACAAACACACGTGTTGTACACACGCGCGCATTACACACAATGAAACACACACGTTTACCACACACACCTCATAGACATGCAGCCCGCCCACACGTGCACCACACATGCCACAAAGCACTCACGCGCCTCACACACACGTGCACCACACACGCGCACACATCACCCTCGCTCACCGTTACACGGGTACGCTGTGTAAGCCCTGCCAAAGATGGAGGTAGCCAAGAGAAAGCGAGCAAGGCTCTTTGAAAGAGGAGTTGAGTGTTCGCTGGGAACAATGAGAGTCCCTCACGTGGATGCTTGGCACGGAGGGGACACTGGGGGTGGGGGAGGGGCACTGGGGAGTGGGGGTTATAGGGGAGAGAGGGGGGCGTGGGGGAAGGAGCAAGGGGAGGGGCTGCGGCAGAGGAAGGGGATGGGGCAGCAGGGGCAAAGGCCACTGCGTAAAATCTGGGGTCACAGTTCACATTCCATCCCTTATTTGGGCGTCCCATTGTAACTCAGCCTTGGGCAGGGAAAGCCACTTTGGTTTCTGGTTTCATTACCTACGTTAGCGGAGTGGCGTTTACTCAACCGATGGCCTTGAGCCAACAGTGGCAATTCCATATTTCCATGGCAGGGGCCATGCCGGGGCATGGGAAGACCAATACTGTTGTGTAGTTCGGAAAACACTTCCATGTGTCTTTTTAAAATAATAGTTTTTATATGATACTGTATGCCCTAATAGTGATGTTATTGGTCACCATATTATTTCAATTACCAAGACGATATTATCTTAGCAGTGTTGGTTTACTGTCGCTGGCTATTATAACAACCTGATATAATCACACCGAGTCAGAAGCCTTGAACGCAGAATGTCACTATTTCTGGCAAGGCAATTATGAACCCCCTGAGACAGAGACAGACTCAGACCAAGGGCTTTAATTCAGGAGCGCAACGGTGCTGATGCAATTTCTATGACAAGGCCATTATGGACCCCCTGAGACAGACACCCAGTGCGAAAGCTCAAACTCTGGATCGTAATAGTGCTGGGTTCAGTATATCTGGCCATTATGAACCGCATGGGAAAAACAGACGACGCAGGCCCAGGCTTTGAACCCCAGACTTTGGCAGTGCTGCTCAATGTCTACCACAGTCACTATGAACCCCATGAGACAAAGAAGGACAGACACCCCTAAACCTGATGCTTCGACCCAGCATGTTAGTGGTGGTGGCTTGATTAACCTCACGATAGAGAATAGAAAACACCAGCCCAAGTGCCTGAAACTAATGATCTCAGTGATGTCTGTTGTCTATGATATATCCATTATGAACCCATTTAGACACACCCACCCAGGATCTCAGCTGTGCTGACAAAGTCTCCGATATCCTCAGATTTTCCCCTCCACATTTAGAATCAACATGCGTTTTATTTGGCTGCCATAAATTTCCACGTGATAAGCCACTTCGATGAGCGATCATTTGTAGCTCGGCCACTTCTGAAAAAGAGCTACATAGCTCAGTGTGGGCCTTACCTGGTCAAAAAAAAAAGTCATCTTGATTCACCCAATTCACCTGGCAAGCTATTTCACTTTTTTACATTTATTCTCATCAAGTTGGCAATTACATTCTAACTTTCCAAGCAAATGTATACGATGAGAGCCTCCCCATGCTGTAGATTGTCAAGATCATAGGTACTAGTGAATGAGGGATATTTGATCGTACCGATTAGTGTGGGTTGAGTTATGGGAGTGTAGAACAATAGATTTGCTGCACTGCCCTCTATTGGCATTATGCAACCGGTTAAGCTTAAATGGAAAATAAAACCTCGTGTCATATTTCATTTATACTGTACACCGTTATTCAGCGTATACATTACAGTGGATTACCCCCATTCCTTTCTCCACCACCCTCTCCGGATCTGACACGGAGGGTTGCCAACATGAATAGTTTGAGAAAAAACTGAACTCAATATCATGAGCGTCACTGTGGAGAAGAACATAAGTAACAACATTGATAAGCACACGAAATAATCTCTTTCAGATGTCCGTCTCTCCACATAAAAACTAAAGTATTTATTTTACACCATTTATGAGCCCCATGCCCTTTTAGGAGGGCATAATTATAGCCATATTGATTCAATACCAGCAAACTAGACCAGTTTCAACAGTGTCTAATCAGTAGCCAGGCTTTCTTGATTCAATACTGGTGAAATGCCAGATGTTATAGGCAAGGGAGCCTATTATTTCAATTATGGGTCCGAAATCGACGCAAAATAATAAAATACTTAACACGCGCAAGCCCCGTTGTTCTGTCGCGCAACACATCAGTCACACGCTAGGGGACTCAGCCACCCATGAGCTTACGCCATCTACAGCTATTGTCTCAAGACCATCCAATCATAAGAGACACCGTACTTCGTTGCAGAGTGGGCACGAGACAATTCATGGATTAAAAGCGATGGTCTCACACACGGCACGTGCACCGAATCATAAGATTGAGAGTTGATTGTTCATGTTTTGTACAAGTTAAATGCAAGCGTTAGTTTTGTGCCAATAGAAGAAATGAGACTGAGCAATTGAAATGTGGAGCACAAACCAGACTGGCAGTATGATACAGTACAAGTGAGACAAATAGTCTCGACAAGACGACGAGTTCAAATGCCACAGTGCCAACGTTATGGTGCTCACGAGACAGACAATACAATAAGATACAATGAGACAAAAGACACTACAAATGCCTCGGACAACAAACGCGACGTTACATAACGAGGCTAACGAAAACAGTACAGATAAGACACATGGTACAAATGGGATGGACAATATAATTGTGACAAGCAATTATAATGATAGAATTATAATGAGGCAAAGGTGCATCAGTGCTGAGGAGACCAACAATAGAGACAAGATAGCCCGTACAAGCTGATAGATAGAACAAAGGCAAAGAGTAACAACAAATCAATAGGAAAAATACAAAACAATTAATTATTGGATCAATTAATGATGCTAAATTGTGACAAATCATTAAATCACTGCGAGGGTTAGTATTAGGCTTGGTGTTGAGGTTGTAGTTTCAAGTTTATGTTGAAGTCAGATGACCATGACTTGATGTTTTTCCTTTACTCATGAACAAAGCATCAGTCCCAGGGGACATGCGCAGCCTAATTGTGTACATCCACAGAGAAAGAGTTGTCTTATTTCATCTTCGTGTGAAAGCAGCTCCGGCCTTCGCTCCCTCACCTGCACCGTCTGCCGGTCAGTCAGGCCGCCGTACACCGAGATCTGTGCCGACCGTGCCGCCCCCACCCCGACTGCTGCCGCCGTCGTCCCATTGGCAGCAGCGGCGGCACCGTTGGTCGCCGTGGCAACGGCGCCACCTGCCCCGGCAGCCGGAACAGCAGCAGGAACGCAGCTGGCTGTTCCAGAGGTCCCACCACCACCAGCGCTCGCGTCCTTGTCCATCGGCCGGGCAGCTGTGGTTAACAATTAAGAATGATTCAACATCCTGGGGTATGACGTTAACCTGGGTGGCAAGGGTGGCAGTGCAGTGGTAACAATTGTGCCTCATAGCAACAAGGTCCTGGGTTTGATTCCTACTCGAGCGCTTTTATGTATGGAGTTTTATGTTCTCCCCCTGTCCTCCATGGGTTTCCTCCGGGTTCTCCGGTTTCCTCCTATAACAAAAAAACAATCTACATTGTGTATTGGCCAAAGATCCTAGTGCTGAAAAACTATCTGATAACACTGGTCACACTTTTTATGGCATAAGGTATTCCAACGGTTTTAAGGTAATTTTGGGGTGCTGATTCCAAATCTGGCATCTATCACTTCAGGTTTTTGAGATATCAAATATTGCATTTTCAATAAAAACTGCAGAATAAAAATATTAAATAAATGTGGATATCTCCATAAAATGATATTATAAACACACTATCCTAAAAATACAGCACCATATTTTAAAACTAAAGCAGTCACTGACTCGCAACAACTTGCAATCATAAGTGACAGAGTTAATTTCGGGTAAAATCAATGAAAATGGGGTAATGCCGATAGCATAAAAATGAGATGTGATAGAGCAAATCTGAGATCAGCTTTGGAATCAAACACCCTGAAATTAGTCTAAAACAGCTGCAAAAGTCCAGGCCAGAAAAAAAAAATTTTGTTGACCAGTGTGATTTACTCAATTGGGATGACACACAGCAGCAACATCGGCCCCACTACAAAAAATCTGGTGGGATCCTCCTGAAAGAGAATCTTGAGACTGAAGCTTTCCTCGGTCAACAAGCTTAATAAAAATCTGTGGCAGTGCAGGTGGGAGTGCGGCCATCTTCCCTCTGGACCAAATGTTACTGGACAAAAGATACAAAGATTATGACTTTTGCAGTTTATTACGCAACCATATTTCGCTACCGAAACTTTGAAGATATGGGAAGTTAATAATGTAGACGAAAGTATAATCTTTGAATTAAATCGTGACCATGAATCGTGGGAATTTACTGAATTTCAGGGAAGGTGAATTAGTCGGATGATTCGACACTGGGACATTTCTGAATCTTTGGAAAGCTGCAGATATTGGCTGCTACACAACGGGTAACCAGTAGAGGGCGTGAGACTGCTTAGCGGTGGAGTGAGAACTGTGGAGCACGGGGAAGTGGGTGGTACGATTGGCAGTGGTAACAAAATATAAAAGATGCATTTAAAGCCAAAACGTTGTGTTTCAATTAACCAACATTTAAATTACTGGAATCTACAGCCCTTTGTCAAACTAATGCTGGATGAAGGCCTTATCATGCTTCACCACGCTGACCAGTGCCGAATGGTGAAGTGGAGCATGCCCATGACTGGGTCAGATATAATTCGTTATTGATGTTAGCTATGGCCAGGCATCATACTCACGTCTCCAGTTTCATAGCAGTGTGATAACCACTGTGCTACACTCCCACAAACGTATTACATGCCGTCCTCGACTTACAAACACTCGACTGATGAACACCCACACTTACGAACCAGCTTTCAAGAAATACCGTTTTTTTTTACATCGACTTAAATCGCAAAGTCGCACTTGTAAACCGTGTGTGTGTGCAATTGTGGCGAGTTCTTGCACATCTTCCGACATGCAAGCCAGCATCAGGACTCAAGGTAAGTGAAAATAAAAAATTATACTTATGTTACTACTTCATTTTATGTTTTATTTACTATACAGTATTTATTAAAATATTACATGGAAATGTACAATATTTATTTTTATTTATGAGTTTAACGACGCTTCCCTTTTCTTCTGAACCGTAACTTTCATAACACTGACCACGTGAGCATTTAAATATCGTACATGATTGTGTTCGGACTTATGAGCGGGCCTCAGGAACGAATTACGTTCATAAGTCGAGGATTGAGCAAATGGTATTATTGTAATAAAAGGACTCAGACACTTCTTGCTGACTCCGTGTCCTTTATTTGGGGTTCGCGTTCTCCTTCCCACACGGCACTCCTCCTGAGACTCTCTCCCTGGCAGCCCCACATCTGCCTTCGCTCCCGTAGCCTTCCACGCTCCTGCAGCTCCGCTGCAGGCTCTTGGTACAGCCCTCTGGCTGCTCCCCCAGCAGCTCCATCTCTGCTCCCTGTTCCTCCGTGCGTGGCGATCTCGCCACCTCCCAATGTCAGCCCTTCGTGGCCTCTATGGCTATCTCGCCATTTCCTACCTCAGCCCTTCGTGGCCTCTGTGGCTATCTCGCCATTTCCTACCTCAGCCCTTCGTGGCCTCTGTGGCTATCTCGCCACTTCCTACCTCAATCCTCCACTCTCTCTTCCACCCCGCTGGCTGGCGCCGTCATGAGCCCCTCAGCCACCAGGCTGAGGCACAGCGACCACCCAACGTGTTCACCACCCTTCACTCCCCCGACTCTCCCAGATAGCTTCCTGTCTCCCCGCTATAACTTCTCCCCCACGTCACCCTGACTCCTCCCTCTCGGATCGTCATATCCGCCCCGCCCATTTACGCCCGCATTACACTACCCTCCCCCGTAGAGAAAATCCCAGCCGTCCTCGGCTGAAACAGAACAAAATAATGCGGGCGAAGGCATCACAATCAGGAGTCCCCCAGACACAACGGAGATTATAACAACAACAACACAAGCAACGAAAGGGGAGGTATCAGGAACTGGAACAGAACACCGGCCTGTCCTCCGCGCAACAACAACAAGAATAAGAATGGCACAATGAACAACAACGGCAACTGACACGCAAGAACGGCCAACGCGCACAACCCAGAAATGTGATGTTTTAGTGCGTGTCCATGTTGCAGTTCCATCCGCTCGGCTCAAGTCCAACGTCAAAGAGCAAGTGGTAGAGCAGAACGACGAACGGCGCTCAATTGCTCCTTCAAGTCCTCATCCAGCTAGCACACCAGGTAACACCCAGTGCGACGGGAGCTGAAGAATCTGTGACGAGAAGGAGAATCCAATCCCCTGAGGCACAGCACAACAACGCACATCCGCATGTCGTACACGACAGCCACCCGGCCTCAGGGTAGTGGAGATGATGTAAATCCAGCCCGCTTAAAAAAAAAAAACTCCCCATAAATACCCAAAATAACGCAATGGATGCCCCAGTATTTACATTTTAACAACAATATTATTTACACGTGACAACAACAACAACAACATTTTCTGCTCTTACCCACCAGCAGTCCTCCCTTGAGGACCAGCACAGACATCGCACGTACACAGCATGTACCCACGGTCACTCTCAGCAACCCAACAAAACGCCTAATCGCACACCCTCGCGTGGAGAAAGCCACGCTCCCCAGCGGTAATGTTTAACTCGCCCTAACCCCCACCGTGGTCGTCAACCCACAGCAACATCCACTGACCATACTCTCAGCTAGTGCAATTTCGGGGATGAGCAGCAACTCGGCCATGCTCCTCCCTTACTATCCCATCGGAGATGGACACACACCAGCCTCGTATAGTCCGATGCTTTATAGCCCAGGGAAGGTTCATCCCCCGGCAATGCCAGACCCCATGGACTCCCCCCACGGGGCAATGTTCTCTTATAGAGACAATAACACCCTAACCCAGATCCCGTGAGCCCCCGGCACACCAGGTTCAGTCTGCCCCCGCACAACTGAACCATGACTCCCCGAGCCATATGAGCACATGGCCCATTAGTTTAAGACATACCACGGAGGTTTCGCCTCCGGGCTGTCAGGTCAGCCATCAGCCATAGGCCGATGTGACCACAACTCGTGCATCACCCAATCAACAATGGCAGGCATAACAGATGGAATATTTGCCCCACCCCGGTTTTTCCCGCGCGCTCAAAAATGGCGTCCCCCTTCGCCCAGCGCGTTCGCGCAATCTCTCGCGCGCACTCAAAATGGCGGCCCTTTCCGCAAAGCGCATCGTCGCCATACCCCGCGTGCGCGCAAAATGGCGGCCCAACGTGCGAACACGTGGCCAATTTTCTCCATTCGTGCACCCCAGCTTCCCTTAGCTGGGGGTCACAAGACGCATCCCCCGTCACGTTATAACAACCCCACCAACGATAGACGCACAGCCCCAGCTTGCTGCGCACAGCTGTCATATCGTGGAATTTTTAACCAATATTTTACCAACCACATTGGTTACACAACCCAACTCGCCAAGCAACTCGTGGCTGCATGCGATCAACCGAATACGCGACGCCACTTGGCGCCAATTTACGGTCCCATTAGCATTAACCTTTGAGACACCCACAACGGCGTCATCACGCACCCTCAAAGCGCGCTCTCTCTCTCAAAAAGCGCAATTACCCATAATATACACGAAATCTCGTGTGCACAACACCAATACAACCGAATTTTAGGGTCCCCCTCTATAATATACACGCAATCTCGTGTGCACAACACCAATACAACCGAATTTTAGGGTCCCCCTCTATAATATACACGCAATCTCGTGTGCACAACAACCATACAACCAATTATTTGGGTCCCCCTCGAATTTGTTACCAATTTCCAACAGGTACGCACAATATAATAACAATCTCAATTCCAATAGTCAACCACTGCATCGCACCCCATAACCATACAGAACGGTATAACAGCACATGCAATCAGCATATCGCGATCACACGCGTACATTTAAGCACAATAGCAAGCAGATCTGCAGGCAACCCACACACCATTAATCCTGTCGTAACTTTGCAGCAACAACACAATTATTCTCTCTCTTGCAACAATCGCATCGCACACAGCACCTCGCAGCACAATACACCAAAAAAAATATATATATTTTTTTTTCCAATTAAGCCCATCACACAAGGTAACCCACAAATAATACAGCGCAAGATACCCGACGCTCCCAAGTTAATAATTAACTTCACCATCAAGATAACAACTCCAAGCAGCAGCGCACACACACAATTTGACACTCAGCAAATACAGCAGACTCTCCGTCCATTCTCAACACACGCACACACTTATATTGACACCAAG